TCGTGGGATTCGACATATCCCATTCATTTGGACTTACATGCACGTCCAGCGAAGACTTGCAGATTACAATTGCGTTAGTCCGTCAGCCTTCTCTTGGGATTTTACGAGTAAGCGACTCTTCTATGGAATGTGCCATGAAATCGGTTGAGTACAGCCTCTTTCCGGTATATGTTTGTACTGGAAATATTAAAGACCCCTTTTTCTAGAGTTAGCAGGGTGCGAATCCCACTTAGCATCATTGTTATACACAAGGTAAACAAAAAAAAGGGGGGGGAAGAGATTATGAAGGAACAACCCCATTATTTCATTTAATAAGAGTATTATGGTAATGGACACCGTCTTTGCCTTGCAGAGTATCTGCTTGTGTCGTTTCAATTTCGGCTTTCTGATCTATCATTCTTGTAGGTATGACTGTACATACATGCAGGTATACAATGGGCAGATGTACACTTAGACAAAACAGCAGGTTAGGTGCACTTTGTTACCACAAATCTACTCATGTATAGCTGCCAAATCTTAAACGGGGCCACTAAAGTAAATGAGGAAAGAACTATTGAAGGATAAAAGGATTATGAACAGTCTAGTGGCAAATCACTTGGGATACTTCCTGGAATGTTGTACAACTAATCACAGTTGGGCAACCTTCGGATGTCTCCCAGACGAGGGTCATTCTTTATGTCATTGTCCGACCAACAGCATATGGGAATCTGACGATCTCTCGGCAGCGCCGTAATCCTTTACTCCGGAAATCTTTTTCTCGGACCCCGTAGATAGTCGAAGGACAGGGAAGTGTGGCCTCGATATTAACTAGTCCCACTTTCGATTGATCGACTATGCAGTGTGCACACAATCTTAGCCCATCCATTTGAAGGATAGACTACCGAGCCACCGTTCTCGTGTTCTGGGCTGTGGTTATCGGTACATCTGTCCAGCGGGTTGATTCCGACACTTAAAAGACGCACGAAGAAGGCTGGGGAAGTGCTATGGATCGTCTGGCGGTCTGACGTGATGCGATCTGGAGCTGTCATATCTCCTTCCTCCATCCAGGTGGGAAGTGTCCCTAACGCAAGACGCTCTGCATTCAACAAACTGTAAGTTTGTAACTCAAGGGCGATATCTTGTTTTTCTTTCCGATCATCGGACACGTTATCGATCGTTGTTTCCACGGTGTGCTCGGCTGAGTCTCCTGTATGATCTAGGTAAATCTTATATATAGAATTGATGGGCGAGAAGCTCGAGGTATGACCAAGCCATCATTCACAGCCATGTACTATACTGTCAGGTATTACCCTCCATGGCTGGGTGAGCGTTCACGAGCTGCACAATTAAATCACCATTGCAGGTTGTATCAGCATCTACCTGATTCATATCCTGTTTGAAATCGCTATTGCGTGTTCAACACATCAATTCGCAATGCATTATCGGTAAAACTTTTGACGTTGCAGTTGGAAACCTGCAAGTAACAATACCCCGGTCACACGGTCGGCCTAGTATCCTGAGGCCAACATTTACACCAGTTCATCTCGTTTCAAGCAAAGTTAGAAAAGGGTTACAAAACACACGGAACATTGAATAAGATGATAATAATAAATGCGGAAAGTAGGACAATGCCAGTTGATTAAGAAAAGGAAATATTCATATGCTCCAAGTAGGTTTAATTTACAAAGTTCCTCAGGACTTAACAACAGGAAGCATATTCTGTTCTCATCCCATTGCCCTTAGGCCCCGATTTTCCCAGACCTTGTCATAGAAACAATAAACCTAGTGGGCAGCGGGAGCCTCCTCCTCATCCTCCTCGAACCAGCTCTCCTCGGCGGGAGCAGCCTCACCAGAGGCAGCCTGGCCCTCAACCTCAACTTCCTGGGTCTCGTAGGACTTCAATTCATTGGCGAGGTTGGCCTCCTCGGGAGACTTGGGGGTAGCGGGAACGCTGAACTTCTGGACGTGAGCTTCGGCGTCACCGGGCTTGACGGGAGTGGGCTTGAAAGCACGGAGTTCACGGAGGTAGAGATCCTGAACGGGGTCGGCTGTTACAGTGTTAGATTTTGACCTGTGGGAGACGGCGATACCATCTCGCCAGTCGTTGCACCGAGTCGAACTGGCTAGTCAAAGGAAGGGGTCACATACCCTGACGAACAGCGGAGGTCAGGAAAGTGCGGCGAGAAGCCGAAGAAACCTGTTGCCGAGAGACGCGGGCGAGGAGAGAGCGCTAAGGAAGGGTCAACAACCTCCACTTGGGAGAAAAGTGAGTGACCATAAAGGGCGTCAGCATGGACTTACAGACGCTCTGAGGGACTGGGACATCATCGCGGCGGGGAGGTGGTAAATGAGGGGAACCTGGGGTGGTTTGCGAAGACAGGTGATGGCTTTCGTCCGTGAATCCGATGTTGGAAGTTCGACGTTTCTTCGGGAGACATCGGCTTGGCAGCTGACTCAGCTATGCGGCTCTTCCCAGCATCGAATGCCGGCATCTTTTAGTCAGATACTCGTTTTGCCTCTTTCTCACTCTTTTCTTCCTCTTTTCAACCCCTCACGAAAGTCGCATCTCCGTCTTTCGCTTCACACGGCTCTCTCCCCCTAGGAGCTCGGTACTCGACGTTGCTCTGCTCGTCTCGATCGAACGATCTCACTTGCAGCGGCTACCTGTCAGGTTCCACGACCCTCTTTCGTGAGACATCTCTCACGGAGACCTTGACTGGTTTATCGCGGTCGGACAAGCCTGACTTCGAGGCTTTGAGGATTCTAGGACGCCAAAGCAGAAGGTCTTTCTACTCGCTTCCACCCGCGAAAGTTCTTTACTCTGGGGCCAGTTGTAGAATAAGGAGTGGAGGGCTCCCTGGAAAGGTATAGCATTGAACTGAGAATCTGGTCCCTTTGAGATTTAGGAGAGATGGCTGTGGATTTTCAACAACATGTCCTAAATTTCATTTGGGGGCCTTCAAGCTAACGTGGTTACGAAGGCAGTGACGCAGAAACGTGGCTTGCATTCTAGTCAGCGATTTGCGCCCCTGTGATTCTCTCCTTTTCTGGTACATCCGAAGACGAGTGTTGCCTTGATTGTACTTTTGTCGGAATACAGCCGTCAACCTGTATTCACCACTCTTCGTTCGCTTTTGTGCTCGCAAACATAATCTCCCTATCTCTGCCAAAAGGTTAGCGAAACGTCGACGAGAACGTATCGAGTCCACTATACAGTCTCGCAAAATGGCCACCGCTCCACCCCAAGCCAGACCTGAACCTGGTCAGTGGAAAAAGAACCTTTCGCATCATCTCATCTGTCCCGAGTGCAAGGAGGTCCCGCCCAATTTGGAGTTCCCCGGGTCGCATGAAACGGTATGCGGGTCTTGCGGTTTAGTGCTCGCTGATCGGGAAATTGACATGCATTCTGAATGGCGTACTTTCTCCAACGACGATCAGAACAACGATGATCCATCTCGTGTCGGAGATGCTTCAAACCCCCTACTTAACGGGGACCAACTGGAGACCCAAATTGCAAGCGGAGGCTCTGGCCGTGTTCGTGACCTGTATCGTGCTCAGAACAAGCAGTCGAGCGAGAAGGCGAACAAGTCTCTGCTGGCTGCGTACAAAGAGATCGGTGCTTTGTGCGATGGATTTAGCATTCAGAAGAATGTCGCTGATACCGCCAAGTATCTTTTCAAGATCGTCGATGATGCGAAGGCCTTCAAAGGGAAGTCCCAAGATGTGATCATTGCGGGTTGTATTTTTATCGCTTGCCGTCAATGCAAGGTACCCCGTACCTTCACCGAAATTTTCGCGGTCACGAAAGTGTCGAGGAAGGAAATTGGCCGAATCTACAAGGCGCTGGAGAAGTTTTTCACGGCCCAGAACCTGGAAAGAAACAACGCCGTGGTATCAAACGGTGGTGTCCCAGATCCCAACGACACATACACCGCAACAACTTCCACCAAACCCAGCGACCTGTGCAACCGTTTCTGCAATCTGTTGGATTTGCCCTTCCAAGTCACCAGTGTATCCTCTGCACTTTCTGACCGTGTCACAACCATGGGAGACCTGGCCGGCCGGTCTCCTCTGTCCATTGTTGCAGCTTGTATCTACATGGCCTCGTATCTGATGGGGCACGGCAAAACTGCCAAAGAAATCAGTCAGGTCGCTCATGTCAGCGACGGAACTATCCGCGGTGCCTACAAACAGCTCTACGCGGAGAGAGAGCGCTTGATTGACCCGGAATGGATCAAGGACGGAAAGGGTGATTTGAAGAACCTACCCGCCAGTTAAATTGACCTTTTATACTCTCCCCACATAGCGCTTGGGAGTGAAAATTTACTTCCTATTAGATGATTCCAAAGCCCCTAACAATACCATGATACCCAATCAAACAAAGAAATTCAATATAAAAATGGGAGGCAGAATGGAAAGAGACCAATCCCGGCGTCCTCACTGCTCACCCTAATTGTTCTGCTATTCTGATATGATTGGACACGTTCATACATCGTGATGTTTTCCTTAATTCAAGTTGCAACTCCTAGTAGTATCAAAATTGCAAAACCGCGTTTGCCTGGTTTGCGTTAGGTATGTTAATTACCCTTCCAGTCCCCCCCCCCCCTTTCCTTCTCCGTGATTCTTTCTATCTTCATATTCTGCTCAGCACTTTTGATATTGATGTCAGATGAGAGTACCCTTATATATAGCTTTTGTTTCTTGGCCAGGAAGAACACAAATGGAATAATTGATCGGGAAACTTGTGCATTGGATACTCAATAAGTCATATCGTAGCTGTATGTGTGTCACTACTACTATTATTAGTACGGCGGCATAGATTGCCAAAGAGAACTGCACTCGTTACCCGGGGCAGGATTCAGGATTACGTCCAATGAAGGACATGAAAGATTCTCGGTCAGTAAATTCTATGACTGCTACACCGTGACAGGCGGTAGTATGTCTTTTACTGGCTGGTAAAAAAAGACGAAACAGGTAAACAACAAATACAACGCAAAACGACTACGCTTCAAGAACTTTCCTTAGTTACCCTCCGAGGGCCGTTTTCCATCGGCTGCCGCAGCCGCAACTTCAGCAACATCCTCTAATCCTGATTCAGCCGATAAAGTGCTCTGCGGTTTATCGACATCAGTTTCGGTAGATACCGCTTCAGAGGAAGCTTCTGGCTCATCTCGCTTGGCTGTAGGTACCACGATAGGACCCCCATCATCGAGGGCGCTCGTTACTGTGTGGGCTGCTTCTGTGAATGTTGGTGGCTGGGGCTCAGCTGGGGTTGACTCGCTCGATGATACCGGGTCCTCTATGGGAGATGTTGGTTGAGGATCAGCCGACTCACCGGCAGTGTTCTTCGCTATCGGGGGGGCCATGGCGTTGTCTTCTGACGTTGTCGTGTCCGGAGCAGCCGACTCGCTGGCAGTGTTCTTGGCTATCGGGAGAGCCATGGTGGTGTCTTCTGACGTTGTTGTGTCCTGAGCAACGACTTCGTTCTTATTCACCTGTTTTTCACTGCCAACAACCAAATTACCAGCCTCATTAACCTCCCAAACATTCCAGGTTTCAGTGATCCTGACTTCTGAGATCGTCGGCAACTTTGCAGCCACATTTTCGGCGGCCGGTCTCCTCCGTGCGGGCCCACGGGCCCTTCCCTTGCGAGCATCACTTAGAGGAGCTTTTTCCGCCGGGGGCTCCTCTGCTTTCTTCTCTTGTGGCTTCGGTGGCGCTTGAGGGCCCAACTGCAAGCGGGAATTTAGATCTGACAAGAACCCTGCCTTCAAAGCAGCGATCTTACTGCCTCCCGGACGGGCCGGTACTGCTGGCTTCGGCTTGGCCGCAGCATCTTTAGACTCTCCGCCATTTCCAGGGAACACGGGCTTAGCTGGCCGGGTCGGGACTTGGGGCTTGGGACGGTCAGGAATTGAAGGTGGTTGGCGTTTTTCAATAGGCGAGGTGACTGGCTTTGTAGAAGTATCCACTGGGGGGCCTGTTGAGGACGCTTCTGGGGTCGAACTGGTATGCTAGGTTTCGTCGGCACATCTGGGCTCTTGACCTCTCCCTCTTCTGCCGGCTCTACTGTGGTTACCAGCTTTTGGCTTTCGGGGGCATCTTCCCAGATGTCCCTGCTGGGAAAGCGCTGCTTGGCAATGTCTGGACGTGAAACAGGCTTCTCGTCGAGACGTTCTTCTGATTGTAGAATCTGTGATGCAACTTTGTGTGGATCAACGCGGGTAGCCTGGCTTCTACGGAAGGACTCCTCCTCCGGAGTCTCAAAGTTTTCGTTCTTAGGAACATCCGGTGTAGACACCGTAGCGTGCAATTGCAAGCTATTCGGCGAATCCTCCCAAATGTCTTGGCTAGGGAACCGGTGCTTGAGCAAATCTGGCCGCTTTTTAAAGCGGTCGGCGGTCGAAAGAGGTTTTTTCTCTGCATCATCATCCTCCGGGAACAGAGGCTCATATTCCTCAACATCATCAAGTGGGGTATGCGTCTCTTCCCGTTCGTCGCGCGAATTGTACCTTGCCAGAGTTGGCAAACTGTTGCGGTGGCTCGCAGTTCTGCTGCCCGAGCGGCTATGGGTGACACTTGGGGTGTGACTCCTGTCGACCTCCACACTTTCCCTTCTGTCGAATGTGGGAGATACGGCGGGGTGCTGGAAAGCAGATTCTGGGCGCACCTCATCAGCAGCCAGAATAGGCTCATCCTCATCTACATCACCCTCCCCAACTTTTCCAGAGAGTTCTTCGGGACCTGGAGTTTGAGCGAAGCCATCAGGATGGTGTAGATGATGATATGGTTCGTCAACGTGTATCACCCCTGGTTCTTCTGACTTGTGAGCGGTATCTTCAGAGGTCGCAGTTTGTTGCTGGCCCTCAGTCTCGACGGAAGGCACGCTCTCCTTGCGCAAAGGTGACTCAGCGACAAGGCGGGAACCACGGCGCGATCCAGGCGGCGGTGATGATAGACGGTGAGTGTATTCGTCAGCGGCAATGTAACCAACCTCCTCTTCTGGGGTTCCGATTACAGCAGGTGACGTGCCTAAGTTTATTCATCGATTAGCTGCATGGTCAATTTTCCAGTGCCATTTAAGCGACTCACCAAGTCCGCTCCCGGTCACAGCAGAGCCCCGTACAATCTTGTTCAGATCATCACTACTCAATGCCCAGTCTGGTCGTGGCGATCCAACTCCGGGGCCATATTGACCCTGCTCTTCCTTGACATATTCGTCGGGGTGCTTTTCATACCAGGCCTTCTCGAACTTGTCATTGGGCTGCACGCCATGTCCGTGAAGACCATAGCTTCCTGGCGGCAGGGAAGCTTCACGACCACTCCGAGTTCGGTTATGGCTGCGGCCCGAGCGCTGGCCCGAATTCTGTTCCAGATGGTATGGACTTGGAGAAGGGGCTTGTACATCGCCCGCATTAGGGTACATTGGAACCCTAATCCCATGCTCATCGCCGTTCATAGACAGTCGTCGATCAATGGAAGTCGAAGAGTCCGCACGCGAGTAACTTGTTCGAGACTGTAACGAGCGAGTGGGTCGTTCATGGTGGTCATCAGGAGTGGGGGATGATGTCCCACCAAGACCTGCTGCTGCAGCCTGACGAGAATCTGTACGTGTGACGGCTTGCAGCTTGGCCTTGGCGCTGGAAGAGGGTAGTGAAGGCCTCGGCGCATGGAGCTTCAAATCGCTGCCCACGTTGCGCATCTCTGCGGGAGTCGAATGGTGGCCCTCTCGGTGACTCTCGGAGACATCAGCCATGTTCAAAGCTTCGTATTCATTACCCTCTTCGCCAAGGGAAGGTATCGTCACACTCGGAGGTCGCTGCGGCACATCTTGGGAAATGGTGCGAGTCAAGCTCGAGCCATTGGGTGGCTCATTCAAGGGAGACGGGGCGTAGCTATCTCGAAGAGGAGATACGGAGCGGTCAAAACGACGAGTGGGACGTGGTGGGATCTTGGGCACGTCTGCGGGTGCAAGACCCTGCTGGTTAGGCGACCTTGACGGTCGAGGGGGGATGGCGGGTGCAGGTTGTGTTGTCATGACGGATGGAACCTAGCAATTCGATTAGGTGTAGACTAGAAGACGCACTGTTGATGATGTTAGCCTCCTTCGGTGTCAGGTTGAGAACGCTCCTCAGTCACATGGGCAAGTTCAGGGGGTAAGAGAGGGGCAGTTCGGCGCAAGTGAAGCTACAGCTAGCACGATAGCCTGGGCTGTACACAAAGTCGGGGCCAATTGAAGTGGGAAGGGGAGAAATCCTGTCCCGAGCCCCTGTTTCTCCAACTTGGTAGGATTTGTACTGGGAGGGATCCTATTGGAAGGAGAAGATATGTTCGGAGCACCAGTCGTAATCTGAGACAGTAGTAGATAAGATCGGTGTATGGAAAGCTGATAGCAATCTTGGCCACGCCGCCCAAAGGTATTGAAGAAGGTCTTGCACTCCTTTGTGGATTCTGACAAGGAAAAATGTAATAATTTGCTGCATTAAAGAAAAAGAAAAGGGGGAAATCAAACAAAGGGAGATGAGCGAGATTACTCACCAATGTTGCGATAACAAGAAGCAAGCACGAGGGGATTGTAGAGCTATCTGAATATAAACGGGCGATGAGGTGGAAGCAATTGAGTGGTCAAACAGGGTTAAAGCTTTTCCAGTAAGGAAAGCCTGTAAGAAAGAAAGGTCAAGGACGAGTATGCACAACAAAAAGTCACGATGAATGGAGAAGAATGGAGAAAAAAGCAGTGCCAAAGGTTCTAAAGACGTAGCAGGAGCAGAGATGATGTATGACTACCAGTCACCTTGCCGCAAAGTGGCCGTAAACTCAGTCTAACCACTTTCTTTCCTGCCACGGCCCACCGCCCCATCGCGTGACGCTCTCTGACGCTATCAGACTGCTCCCTAAATGGTACGGAAACCGTATGGTAACCGTCCATGAGCTGTGAGCCAACGAGCGTCAATCGTTGCAATTACAGACTCAGCTTGCTTCCTCGTGGGGTTTAGTTGGTCCCGCTTGAAGTTCTTTTTTCAGGTTGATTCAAGGGCTTTTCTCTTTTC